TGCATTAGTTACTAAAAAATATACGTAGTGATATGTATATATATGTGCATTAATAGATCGATACAATATCTGATTCCTCTGACATACAACTAGTAGYAGCATTATTGGGTTTATTAAAGTTGTACAATGTTCTGTATATTGTTTGTATATCTTACCAATTAAGCTATAACGTGTGTATATGAGGTGCAAATTCTCACGAATACGAAACATTAAATTTTGCTAAAATACCTGAAATTAATTAATTGATACATATATAAATTGAAGGAACCTTAGAAAATGATTATTACAAAGCAAATAGAAACATCAATGTAAGAAAACATTAATTTAATACAAGCTAGTACGGTAATGAAGTCAAATAAAATTACAATAAATTTCAAACAAACTAGAGCCTTGACTGTTTCAAACAATTGTGATCAAACTTGGGAAAATAGATACCGCGATTGCCCTATGATGAGCTATGTAATTACGCGGAAAACATATATCATAAGATTTTAGTTCAGGATCATATATCATAAGATTAGGATTTTTAGCACGCGCATCGTAAAGGACCAATGATTTCTTCTTCTTATTCTTCAAAACCGCGAGAGGAATGGCGCAAAGAATGCATTCAGAGTAAAAAACCAATGAGTCATTTGTGGAGAACAAACATGAATCATTTTGTAGGTTTAGCGAATAAAGTTTCTCCCATGTCATCATGTCTGAATTTTTTAAGAACCATATATCTTGTATTGGCCACAGTTTCTGCGATACGCATAGCCGATTATTCACGTTACACATGACGATTTTTTTAGAATCTGCTTCGACAAACGGAGTTTTTGAGATCACGTGAAACTTTTCGCTATAAACATCGAAAGATAGTACTCTTGTTTCCTTAATATTCTCATCAGTGAACCAATGAAGCGATCCATCAAAATAAACTGGAATGTGATATGCAAGAATACGGTAAGGAGCCGCGGTCACATAACTCCAACTGTTGTTGCTGAAATCAAAAACTTCACAAGTTGTAGCATTTTCTAGACCTAACTCAAATGAATTATACAACCAAACCAGCTTGTATGTGTTTGTGAACTTGTCTTTTCCAAATCCTAGATTATAAAATTTGATTACGCCTTCTTTCGCCCACGTATCTCGATGAAACTTGTCAAGAACAACTGCTTGATATCTCGACTGAGGAACACTTCGAGACCATCTTGTAATCGGATTGACCACATAAATACGATTATAGCTATTGTAATAGCATATCATACCGTCGCAACTCCCAGTGATTGAATAAGTGTAATAAATCAAAGCCGGATAGGACTCCATAGGAATCGGTTCAGGCGGAGGACAAAGATTAGGAAGTTTGATCAAATCCGATGAAGCCATCTTGAACATCCTCGTTACATTTTCTTCCTTGTATTCCATATATTCGGCATAGGTCGGATAATTACCAAATTCAATGGGATTGATGATGAGGATATCTGGATCTTCTGATTGCCGACGTAGGAAATATGGAGCTTCGATCATAGATTTCCATTGTTTTGAAACAGATTTGAATCTGAGTAATGATTCCACGGGAAGCTTCTGTAGAATACGTTCAATTGTGTCATGGGATAATTCCATAACGTTTGGTATTTTATTGTTTTGAAGAATGATCTTTGGTTAGTTCTAGTCCTTTCGTTGTAGGATGAATAGATCCTTCACAGATCATGTCCCTTATTATACTTTTGAAAAAACATCTCTATTGGTAAAAAAGAGATTGTGTTGATTATATTTTAATGAGGGAAAATAATGTTTTGTGACATTTTTAGCTTTTAAATCTATTTTATAGAAACATATATGTAAATTTTGAATCTTAGATTGTGAGCTTGCGACACATATTGCATAGTTTTAACTTAAAAAAACAATTGAAGAATAAAGAATTATGGTATTAGTATAATTATGATTTTGATATTGTATCATAAATTAGATCAGATTTATATGTGTTGATATATTAGGACATAAATAAATATCTTATAGACAAACATTTGAAAGTTTCTAGTAATTAAAGTCTCCCTTATTTATATATTTTTTAAAAACATCTATTGGTATGTTTTATATTCAAAGGGTTGAATGGAACCATACCTACCTCTCTAAAAGAGATTATGATAACTATATTTTATTTTAATTAGCAAAATAATAGATTTGTGACATTTTTAGCTCTTAAATTTGTTTTCAAGAAACATATATGTAAAATTTGAATACCAGATTGCAAGTCTGAGACACATGTGTAGTTTTAAATTTTGTTTCTAAAAAAAATCAAGAATAGAGAATTATGATATTAGTATCTCCTTTATATAAAAGAGGAAGATTTTGTGAGTTCTAAGGCATGCCATGTAGGCAAAAATAATCAGAAATAAAATCAGCCAATGAGATGTCTCTAAGATGACATGTCATATACGTTTTTGGTTTTTAGTTGGGTTTATTCGGATTAAACAATTAAAGTCAGCCCAATATCACGTTTTCGGTTCTAGAATTGAATTTTAGCCCAGACAAATGACAAATCTCTTTCTTTTTTTCTCTCAACAAAAAACCCTAATCTCAACCAAATCCTTTCAATTTCGCTGTTCACCGTTACACAAACTTTAAACACATTACACGATTCATCTTCTAATCCATCAGTATTTCAAAAGATTTAAGAACAAGCTTCATCCTCAAACTCTTCATTCCAACGAAGCTTCATCCTTAATTTTTTGTAATTCGCAGATTATGCTTATTTCTTTTGCTTCCTGTGTATCAAAGATCTGAGAGATGAGAGGTGATGCCCTCATTTCTCTGAATGCTTCCAATGGGTCCTCAGGGAACCAATCCTCATTTGCATCATCCTGATGGATGTAAATGTAATCCGCTTCTTAAACAATCAAACTCATGAACGTTGTGACTGATCTAAATCATAAACCATTTCGTAGGTTAATCTACATACACACCTCGAGTGTCATATCCCAAGTTTCTTTGTTCTGTTTGCTTCTTCCCACTCTTTGCTCCAATCATTTGAAGATGCCTCTGAGCGTCAGCTGCCTTATTCTTCACTAAATCCTCTGTAGACTCTGGATCCCTAGTCAACGATCCAGTGGCCATAAAGCTCCCTTGCTATAGCCCACCTCTCCTCCATCTTAGCTTCCAATTGCTTGGTTCCATGATCTCTCTCTCCCTTCAGATGCCCAGCTGATCAACAGAATGCCATGCTACTTATCCCCTCAGCTGCAGAAATCACAAGTGTTATGTTTAGAATGAATCCAAACAAGGCCCCTGGGCCAGATGGGTCTCTCTGGTTTCTACAAAGCTTGCTGGGACATTGTAGGGACTGAGGTTACAGAAGCTATCGGACAGTTCCTCATCTCTAACTTTATCCCTGCCTC